CGCTCAAAAAAGTTTTTGTTGAGCTTGTTTATGGAGCTTGCCTGGGCCTCTACCGTTGGCATCAATGGCAAGGTGTTCAAGGCATATTCACCATTTCGTGAAGAATGTCAAAAAGTGTTCTATGCCGCGCATCAAAGGCTTCTGGTGGGTCAGAAGGAATTTGACCCTTTGAAATTGTCCAGGGATCTCATGGATATGGTTCAAGCCAAAAACGTGTCTTTGACACCGCACAGGTTCAGAGTTTCTTTTGCATTCTGTGTTTTCTTTGGCCTTCAATCTTACAAACACAATGAGTATCAATGAGTGATGATCGCAGGAATATCAAACAAAACATCATGAATTATATAGTAGAAATATGTTGATGTACTTGCATTAGTCAATGCCCAAGGCAGAGAACACTGAGCAAGATGGTACAGATGAGGAGGCCATGCTAGCGCACGTGAAGAACTTTGACGTTGAGCAAATCAAGCTCATCAAGGTGTTTGTCCAAGAGGTGCTTCCACATCCATTGGCCATGCACGAAAGCTTTGTTAAGTTCCGACTTGCCCTGGTGCACAAGAAGAAAACCTTCACAGAGTTGCCAGATTTGCAAGCTCAACTGTCATTCCTTCAGGAGGTGTTGGAAGACATGAAAGTGTTTCCGAGGGCATGGCTTACCTATGGATCGAGCACGACTTTCCTCTATGTCAAGACTTCTCGCTTTGTTGAAGGCACAGAATCAGTTTTCCAAACCTCTGCCAATTTGGGACAGTTTGTCTCTTTGAGGGGAAAGTATTGCATTCTGGCGTTGAGAGATCTTGTCAGAGTAAAAGCCTTGAAATGCACTTCGAACACAGAGAAAGCTCTCGCAGAGATGTCGGCACTTGCTGATGCAGAGACTGATGCAAGCAAGGATGCAACCTCCTTTACGGCTTCGCTTTCTGCATTTGATTCCGCTACTTGGCTTTATACATTCAGTGTCAGTTTTGCTTTGTGGTGCTGAAGTTATGATGTTGTGTTCAGGGTGCAGCCATTGTTTATATATATATATATATATCAACAAATATGCTATTTTGTCCTTGTCCTTTCATTGCCTTTTGATTTCAGTCAGGAGCTAGCTCAGAAGGGCGATGCTGAATGGGGCCTGCATTGGTCAACTTTCCTGAACAAGGTCTCCGGAATTGCTGATGCACCTCAGCTCCTCAGGAGCATGTGTGGTGTAATTGAGCGAGCAGGGGCTGTAGCTGGTGCTGGGATGAGTGCTGGTCTTTCTTTGGGAAAAGATGGCCCTACCATCAAAGAGGTGACAAGAGCTCTCAAGACTGCTCCAGCAGATTCAAAAACTCAAAATGAGGAGGACTGGGGTGGAGCACAAAAGACAAACAACTACCTATTACCGCCTAGGCCAACTACTAACAGCCTATTTATCCTTTTGCGTGTTTTTTGTTAGCTTGGATTGACGCAACTCGTCTGTCTGTCTTTTATGTCTATATCAGTGTGTTTGTCAGCATGGCAGTCAAGTATTGTCAAAAACAAACAGCTTCAGGAGGACGAGCCACCTGAAGGCAAGCTCACAGATCATTGCCTTATGAAGCCTTTGATTCTTCAGCGTCAAGTGCATCCGCTGTTTGAGCTTGACGAAGACTGTGACTTCTACATGCATGATGAGGCGGATGCAATCCCATATATGTCTGGCCTAGATGTTCACTTGACAGCTCCTTGGATCAAGCTTGTGGAGAAAGCCATTGAATGGCAAGTGTGGAAAAGCTTCCACATGCAAAGTGAATTGGCTGAGAAGCATGTCATGCTGGTCGCGGATCCAGCTGCAGCCAACCTCAAGTCTGAGAAAGTTGTGCTGGTGGACGCCCCTTCCGGAATGGATCTTGTGTATGCTGGCCCTGTTACGACAGAGCCCTCTTTGAACTCCATGCCAGTGGCACAGGTGAATGGCATCAAATTCTTCATGAACCCACCAACTCCTCCTCCGGCAGGTGACGTGCTGATTGCGGCATGGCTAGTAAAGCCAACAACAAAGAAGGAGCAGGTGACAGTTGAACCATGGTCAGCAACTCTGGACTTCTTCTTGACCTCCAGTGGCGTCATAACCAAGACAGATCCCAGGGAATCTTGCTGGCACCTGAATGCTTTGAAGAAGTTGTATGACCGGTCACGGTTGGTCTTGCCAGCTGCAGAATCAATGATCCAAAAGCTCAGAGCTGAAAACAATGGGCTGCGGCAGCAGCTCAATGCTTTGAAACCTAGTGAACCAGAAACTGAAGCTGCTGTGAATCCTGTAGAGTCTGCAGGAGGCGGTGGCAACCACTCAGCCAGTGCTGAGAGCGTGGATCAGCCAAAGAAGGAGGAGGAACTTCCAAAGCGTGATGTCAGTGATGAGTTTGACAAGCCTCGCTCTCAGGATGTCAAGACTGCTGGTGAGAAAGCAGAGGAGGTGCAGATTGACCAGAACCAGTCTCCAACTGATGGCGGTTTGCAAGCTCCTGTGGATCACAAGGACCCTCAACATTGTGCTACCGGTGCACCAAGCACGCTTCCCAATGTTGACAATGAAGGCAACATTTCAGCAGATGCTCAACATCATGGGAGCTCGCAGAGTGACCAACCGGATTCATCACACGATGCTGGTCCTTTTGTGGATCATGATCTATGTCAGCTGCCCAAGTATCCTGCTATTGAGCATCTAAGGCTTGCACCCAAAGTGGTGAAAATTGAGATGACTGTGTATGGGTTCTTCGGATGACATACACTAGTCTTGTTTTGTGGGAGTTTCTTTGCATGTTGTCTTCTTGAACAGCCTGAGCACCTTCATTGAATTCACCTTTGGTATTTGCGGTGTCCTTTTACAGCTAGAATTTGGATCAATATCTTATCATTTGTGTTTTGTAGGCTTTCTATCTGAAAAAGGTAGCGTGCATGTGGTGAATATCAATGATTGCTGAGGCTACGCACCATTGGGCAGACATCCAGTGCTCCCGTACCATTGCTGCGAGAGATGACATCAGAGGAGGTGGCAGCAAAGGCCACGAAACAAAAAAAGATGGCGCCAAGCACTACAAGCAAGGTTGGAGTTGCAGGAGCTATGCATGTTCGTGAAGTGCTCATGGAAAAGGCCGGCCATGAGACAGCAGCCAGCAAGAAGCGCAAGAAGAAAGAAGAGATCAGTACTGGTGACAAAGCCAACGCCCTCAAGATCGTGCGGGGTGGCCATTTGCTCAAGTGATGGTGTGAGTTCACTAGCAGCGTGATTTGTTTGGCTAGCCAGCAACACAAGAAAACATTGACCCTGAAGCCTGTGGCCACTTTAGTTCTTTACTTTATCTTTTGGAATCAGTGGTTGACTATAGTTTGAGGAGTATTACATGTTTGACAGGCTGAATGCTCAATGTTTCAATCCTTAGCAGTCCAGGTCAGCGAGTGCTTTGGTTGTGTGACCTCCCACTGTGCATGAAACACATGCCAATGCACATTGGCTGCTGGCTGTTCACTAGATCCTTTGCAGCTACCCACGTGTCACTACGTACGTAATGCTGGCCATAGTAGGTTTCGGAATGTGTTTTTTGTTCAAAAAACTAAATCAACAAAATGTTTTGTTTGCAAGCTTTGGTGCTCACCAACCTGCAAATGCAATTCTGTGGGGATGTGTTGCTTTTGCAAAACTAAAAGGGCATCCTATGGCCAGATAGGACAGAGGCTTGTCGCTCGAGATGGAGGAGGCCTGTTTGGACCTGTCAGTCTGTTGAGTGCTTTTCGCAAAGGAACAATATACTTTGCCAATATTTATTTCCAACAAACGGATACACTTTTGGGAACAAACTTCAAAGTTGTTTTTACAACAAAGCACATCCAAAGCATGGCCCCTTTTCCTCGCGACCAATACTTAAGGTTGCTGCGCAAGGAAAAAGCACGTCTTGACATAACATTTCTTGAACCATTGTGCAATTTTGCTCTGAACTGAACAATTTTGACTTGGCTGCCACGGTCAAATCACTTAGGTCCTATGGCCATTGAGCAGCTGCTCAGAGCTCCAAAACGGAGTTCACTTGTGCATTTTGTGGGAAAACAATCCTCTGCTGAGGGTGACTAATCTTTGGTTTCCTGCTGTTGGTTCTGTTCAGGTGGCATGGAAAACATATGCTTCTGGCGTGAAACAACTTCACAAACCTTAAGAATAATATATACATTTGACACTTGGAGCCTGCCAACCATTGCCTGGGAAGCAAATATCAAAACCATCCCCGAATCCATAGTTTTGTGGCGGCTTCACTCCTACAGCTAGTGAGGCACGTCACGAGCCATCGCTTGTAGGTTGGAGGCCATTGCTGTTAGGTTGGAGGCCATCGCTTGTAGGTTGGAGGCCATTGCTGTTAGGTTGGAGGCCATCGCTTGTAGGTTCGAGGCCATTGCTGTTAGGTTGGAGGCCATCGCTTGTAGGTTGGAGGC